ATATGAGTTTTATTCCCTTTGGATCATCACAAATGATCCATTCTTACCCTATAGTACTTCTGGAAGTGAATGGGAAGGCTAGTTTGCTTTGAAGGTGGCTGCAAGATAGGGTTTCGACTTGCCCTAGTTCTTGAGAACTTTTGAGATTTTTGAGAGGTTTCTTGTGCAAGGGTTTTGTGTGGCTTGATGTCTGAAATGATAAGGATATATAGAGGAGAATTAAGTCAACCAAATAGTGGGCTTGGACCTTTGTAAGAAGCCTTGATTTTATCTTGTTTAATTTTGAATTTAAATTAATAAAAATCAAAATAAAAAGAAGATCCATGGGGTGTATGAATAAGTTCTAAGGTTAAAATTGAAGTATATAACATGCATGGACTTTAAAAAATGGCCCATTAACCCAAAAATTCAAGTTTGGTCACTTTAGGTTTCATGCATTTGCTCAAAATCTCCCAACTTGAACCAATCATAACTCTCTCAATTTTTATTATTTGAAGGTCATATTGGACTTTGTGGAAATATAAAGATGCCCTCTACAATGTCTATTTTGATAATTTTTTCATTTGGAGACTTTATCTTGATATAAGTTGCCTTGACATAATGTTTCTTTTTGTTGACTTTTAAAATGACCAATAATGTATTGGCCCATATATCTCAAATGGAGCATTTTTAGGACTTGAGCTTAGAGAGGCAAAGTTGTAGAGAATTGAATTTCCTTCAAAATGAGCTTTGGTTGAGAAAAATTTGATGAAGCATGTGGAAGTTGTGCTTGGTCAAAGTTCAGTTGACTTCTCCTTAAGAAAACCTTAATTTGGCAACTTTTGACTTTTGATGAATTGAGAGTTTTCTTGATGAATCATGATCAACCCTTGATAAAATTATGAATGTGACTTAAAAATCTTTATGTTGACCAAAAATCTTGAAGTTTGACTGTATGTTGACCAAAATTGACTTTTTGTCCAATGTAGTTGCTTTTCAGTCATCTGAGCAATTGATTGAGAAAACTTGTGATGCAAGGATTGAAACTTGGCATGATCATTCTTGGAGACATATAAGAAACCATGAAATCCACTTGAGGCTTTAGAAACCCAATCTTCCTTGAGAAAAGCGAAATCTTAGTTGTGGATCCATTGCTTAGGAGGAGAATTTGTCTGATTAATTCTTGAGCAACCTTGAGCAACTGAGAAACCTAGGAGAATGTTTTGAAGGAAATGGGAGGGAAAATTTTGGGGTACAACAATGCAGAAGTTACAAGTAAAAATATTGAAGTGTTGGACACAGTGTTCATTCATTCAGTTCAGAGCAAAATTTCCAAATTACCGTTGGAAAGAGTTCTTAGCTTGTCAATTTCTGAAAACAATAAGGAAATAGATTAGAAAGAATCAGAAGTGCTAGCCATGTTTGAAGCACAACCTCCTTGGAATAGATCAAAACCACACCGGTGGGATGATTTACGACCATAACAATCTTCTAAAGAGAAGCAAGAAGTCGAAAAGGGGACAGAGTTGAAACAACTGCCTGAACATCTCAAATATATTTTTCTTGACACTGAAGAGAAATGTCCAGCTATCATCAACTCTAGCCTAAAATAATTTCAAGAAGACCAGATCATCAAAGTACTCAAGAAATACAAGGGTAATATTGGATGGTCCAATGAAGACTCGAAATGTATTAGTCCCACATTTTGAATGCACAAGATATTAATGGAAGATGATCAGAAACTGGTTGTCCAGCCGCAAAGAAGACTTAACCCTGCCATGAAAGAAGTAGTCCTCAAAGAAGTTGTGAATTTGTTGGATGCGGGTCTTTTTTACCCTATATTTGATAGTTCATGGCTGAGTCATGTTCATGTGGTACCAAAGAAGGGAGGAACAACCATCATTAAGAATGATAAGAATGAGTTGATTCCTACAAGAACTCTTACAGGTTGGAGAGTGTGCATTCACTACTGAAGGTTGAACACTTCTACAAGAAAGGAATATTTTCTTTTACCATTAATTGACCAAATGTTGGAAAGGATGGCTAGTCGTGACTACTACTCATCCTTGATGGGTGCTCTAGATACAATCAAATTACATTGGCCCCAGAAGATCAAGAGAAGACCGCATTCACACGCCCTTATGGTATTTTTGCTTACAGAAGAATGCTATTTGGGTTGTGCAATTCCCCTGCCACTCTTTCAGAGATATATGATGTCCATATTCGCTGATATGCTTTAAAACCATGTGGAAGTGTTTATGGATGATTTTTTATTTTTCGGTTCTTCATTAGATAATTGTTTGATTAACTTATCTCTTGTGCTAGAAAGATGTCAGCAGACCAATTTGATTCTCAATTCGGAGAAGTGCCATTTCATGATGTGTGAAGGAATAATGTTAGGGCACAAAATTTCCCATAAGGGAATTGAAGTTGACAAAGAAAAATCAGAGGTGATTGCAAATTTACCACCACTGGTGAATGAGAAGGGTATAATAAGTTTCTTGGGACATGTAGGTTTTTACCGCAAGTTCATAAGAGATTTTTCGAAAATTACCAAACTGTTGACTAGCTAGCTTTTGAAGGATACACTGTTTCTATTTGACAAAAAGTGCGGTGAGGCTTTTGAAACTTTGAAGAGTAAGTTGGTATATGCTCCTATAATAATTTCCCCTGATTGGTCTCTTCCTTTTGAGATCACGTGTGGTGCAAGTGATATAGCAATGGGGGAAGTACTAGGACAGATAAAGGAAAAGCTTTTGCATGTGATCTACTATGCAAGACATGTGTTGAATCCTGCACAAATGAATTATACATAACTAAAAAAGAGTTGCTAGCGATGGTGTATGCTTTTGACAAATTTAGGCCTTACCTGTTGGCATTGGAGGTAATTGTTTATACTGACCATGCTACTTTGAAATATATTTTTTCTAAATAGGAATCAAAGCCAAGGTTGCTGAGATGGATTATGCTTCTGCAAGAGTTTGATCTGGAACTCCGAGACAAAAAGGGGTGTGAAAATATTGTTGCTGATCACTTATCCCGAATGTCCCCGATAGAAGAAATAGAAGAGAAAAACCTGATAAAGGATGAGTTTATCGATGAACAAATCCTAGATGTTACAAGTGTTCCATGGTTCGCAAATTATGCGAATTATTTGGTAGGTGGAATAATATCTGATGATTTTGATGCTAACAAAAAGAAAAAGTTTTTGCATGATTGCAGGTTTTATTTGTGGGACAAACCATTCCTGTACAAGAAAGGAACAGACAATTTCGTTTGAAGATGTGTCCCAGAGGAAGAACATAGAGACATCCTAAAAGCATGTCATGACTTGGAATATGGAGGACACTTTAGTGGAGATAGAACAATAGAAAAAATCCTTCAGCCCGAGTTGTACTGGCCTACACTGTTCAAGGATACTCAAGGAATGGTGAAAGAATGTGACATGTGTTAGAGGACATGTAACATTTCAAAGAAGAATCAAATGCCTCAAAATGCTATGTTGGAGGTGTAATTGTTTGATGTATCGGGGATAGACTTCATGGGACCGTTTCCACCCTCATTTGGAAAGAATTACATCTTGATAGTTGTGGATTATGTGTCAAAGTGGGTGGAAGTGGTACCTCTGCCCACTAATGATGCCAGGGTTGTGGTTAATTTTCTGAAGAATAATATTTCTCAAGGTTTGGGGTGCCAAGAGCACTAATAAGTGATGAAGGCACCCGTTTCTTGAACAAGTTGATGGAGAATCTGTTGAAAAATACAATGTGAGGCACAAGATTACCACTCCATATCATCCTCAAACGAGTGGGCAAGTTGGAGTGTCTAACAGGCAGATAAAATAGATTCTTGAAAAGACTGTTAGTGCTTCTCAAAAAGACTGGTCAGTGAAGCTGGAAGATGCATTTTGGGCGTACAGAACAGCCTTTAAAACACCAATAGGTATGTCCCCTTATCAGTTGGTTTATGGTAAAGCTTGTCATTTTCCGCTCCAATTAGAGCACAAAGCATTTTGGGCCACCAAATTTATGAATTATGATCTTTTCAAAGCTGGTGAATTCCAAATTCTTCAACTACATGAGTTAGAAGAATTTAGGAATCGGGCTTACGAGAATGCCAAAATTTATAAGGAAAAAACAAAAAATGGCATAATCGGAAGATCCTGAGGAAGGAATTTTGGGAAGGACAATTGGTGTTGTTGTTTAATTCCAGGTTGAAGTTGTTTCTTGGAAAATGGAAGTCCAGATAGTTCGGACCATTTGTGATCCACAAAGTGTTCCCGCATGGAGCAATCAAGCTTAAAAATAAAGCGAACGGGGACACCTTTAAGGTGAATGGACAACTATTAAAACCATAATATCAAGGACAAGAGAGTGGTCTGATAGATGATGTTCGTCTTATAGGATAAGATGGACGACCGTCGAACCATGCAATGTTAAGTGAAACACTTCTTGGGAGGCAACCCAAGGGAGATACCATTTCATTTTGAATTTTAGTTATTTATTTTTGTATTTTAGTTGAACTGTTTGTATATTTTTGTTTTACATTTTTATAATTTTATAGTCAATTATGTGCTTTTTTACTTTGCAATGAATTAAGGAGTCGAGACTCGAGATTAAGTGCACATTCTGGAAAAACGCATGTCCGCGTACGTTCCAAAACTTTTTTGCATGTTATCTGCTGGAACGTGTAACAATACGTGTTATGGTCATATAACTTCAGTAAACGCGTCCAAGGACGCGTGCCTAACAGTTGCATTGGGCAAAAACGCATGACCACATGCATGCCAGAAAGTTTGTTGTTGTCTTCATGCATGTCAGGACGCGTGCCTCTCTTCACACGCACGTCAGGACACATGCTTCCTCTCACACGCACACGAGGACGCATTTCAGATTTTCACCAGCACTATTTATACTTTTTCACCATTCACACACGCATTTTCAGATCTAACGCCCATTGTCACTGTGAAAATTTTTCTACTTTCAGTTTTCTCATTCTCCTTGCTCAAAAAAATCCCTCTCATGGCTAAGAAATCGAACAAGGGAAAGAAATCAATGCCTTCATCATCTGCTGGTTTTGATAATCTGAAGTTTTCCTCTGGCCCCCACCAACATAGATATGACAGTTTGGGTGAGCGAAATATTATTGATGAAAGGAAGTTTGATTTACAGAGAGGGGAATACACTGATGTCTATGCCACTTTGAAAAAATATAGATTGACTACCTTCAACAACTCCATTCAACCAGTTTCTTCTGAGTTGGTGAATGAATTCTTTGAAAATTCCTATAGGGTTTCCCAAGATGCACCTAAATTTATCAGTTATGTGAGAGGCAAAATAATTGAGTTTGACTGGAAAATGATAGACAAATTGTTGAAACTTAAATTCAAAGAGTTGTAGTGCAAGTATGCGGAGAATAAAGGATAAACACGTAGAAGTTGGCCATATTCTGACATGTTGAGCAAATTGGCCATTCTAGGAAAAGGTTGGTACGGCTTCACACATATCCGTGATCCGGATAGCATATCGAGGAAAATTCAATCTCAGTCTCTTGCAGCCGTCCCAAAAGTATGGGTATCATACTATCATCATAACTTTGATACCAACATAAGCAGTTCAGAGTTAACCACTTTGAGGGCTTTGGGAATTTACTATCTACTGGATAATCAATTTGTTAACTTGGGGAAAACTATTCCAGAGGACATGGATGCCATTGTCCAATCCAAGTCAAAGAAAGTTATGGGGCATGCATATGTGATACTTCTTTTGTGCATGAAAGCTGGAGTTGAACCTTTGACAGGTGGAGTTAAGGTGTTTCCATCCAAGGAAATTGATACCACATGGATTGGTAAGATGAATGTGGTTTCTGAAACTGAGGACGCAAATAGACAGGGAGAAGGAAATCAACTCAGTGATAATGTTTAAAGGTCAGACCCATTCCATGAGTTGCCCTCGGGAGTGACTGCCGCTTATCGCTATCACCATAGTATGGACGAGGAGTCTTATGCTCATCGAGTATAGATGCATAATTCATGTAGGATATGTGCACAACGTTTAATATATTCGGACTATACCTTACTCATGATATTGATGCGTGGGGTGTTGTCCAGCACTATCGCAACCGTGCTACTGCAAACCCACCCGCTCCTTATCATGGACGGTATCTGATTTCGAGTTTCTTGTATGACATGCAAATAGGAGGACACATAGCTCCTCAGGTACCTCGTCAGCCTCAGCCATCGCCGCCCAATATGGACGATGATGACATCTTTTGTAGCACTCACAAAGACGTCGGCCTGGATGGTGAGGACGCTTAGCATGCTTGGGTGTTTGTTTTTTTGTTTTTTTGTTATTTTTAACTATTTTTTATCTTCTTAATTGTAGTCTTGTTTGTTTTGTGTCGGTAGCGTAGTTATTTCAGTTCCTTGTTTCAGTTTCCTTCTTTGTAATGTCTATTTGAATTAATGAAGTTCTTCTTTTAATTTTCTCATTGTGTGTACTGATGAAACATAGTTAGAATGTATAATGCTTTCACAACTCCTCCTGGTAATTTTGAATCTTCCCACGTAGCGGTTTCATCTAACTATTTCTGACCTTTATTACTCGTTTGTGGTACATGATATACTGTTGAAAGTGATACATGTTCTCCTTATTTGATTGAGACACAACATCAAGCTAGATCCATTGTATAAGAGGTTCATCTCTATCCAACCTGGTGAGCTTCAGAAAAAGCCAAACACTATACTTCATCATGAGGGAATTTTGGTATGTCACATTATTCAAAACTTGCACTTGTTCTTTGCTGATTTACACTAGACTTGATACACACACTGAGGCAAAATTTTTATTTTGTTTTTATTTTAACCCAGAGCCTTTCAACCATCCCTGTTTAATAATTATCCCTTGCATAACCCCGTTAAGCCTATTTGTTTTTTGTTTTTACTACCACACCATTTAACACGTGGCTCGAACACTCCCCTACCTTTTTCACAGTAATTGTTATTGTTTTTGGACCTGTGCTTCATTCTAATTTTGGGGTTGCTGTTGGAATAACAACCTTTAAGTTTGGGGTAGCTACACAAAAAGTGAAACAAGATGAGTGTAACGGAAAACAAAAATAACAATAAAAAAATAAACAAAGAAAAGACAAGACTTCACAAAGAGAAGAACTCATAAAAGAAACATTCGGTTGGAGTTCAAGAAATAAAACTCCAGAAACTGAGTAGTCAAGATGATCATGAAAAAGGCCCGTTCTAAAGATGTCCAACAATGATACCTTAGAATGAAGACAGCAAAAAGAACAGTGACATTTACTCTGAACCTAAAAACCAGTTTTCCTTTTTTTATATCCCACCTTAACCCAAGCCCCTTTACAACCCTAAAGACCTCAAAAAAGTGTGTGTCAGTATAGTAGAATCTAGTAAGAAAATTTGCAAGCTTATGGTTTAGTGTGCATGCCAAGAATTGGAACGAATAAACACATTTTACCATTCGAGTGATTTAGTGAGAGTGTGATATAAGATGAAGGCTTATGCAATGTCATCATGTGAGATTTTGATAAATCAGTTGACTATGGTGAATCTGTGAAGCTCGAAACATTCACTTGAGATGTTCATGATAGAGCACGGGAGGTAGGAAGTCATGAGGCGAGTATTTTAAATTTTTTGGTGGTAACAAGTTTCTTGAGGACAAGCAACAAGCCGAGTTTGGGGTTGTGACCAGTTGCACTTTTGCTGTGTTTTATTAGTTGTTTTTGTTAGTCTTTTGTAGTACTTATTGAAATTCTGGCTGCAGATACTCAATGTCACGTTTAATGTTATGACACCGTATCTGACTTTCTATAGGACAGTAAATACAAAAACAGTAAAGAACACAGTCAATTGTTTACCCAGTTCAGTGTGCAACAACACCTACTCTGGGGGCTACCAAGCCAGGGAGGAAATCCACTGTAAGAGATGTTAATTCAGGAATAAACCAACCAGTTTATCTCCTTCACTTAAGACCTACCCAATGCAATTTCAATCTAAGTACAACTTAAACCTGAGTTCCTACTCACTCCCCCTCAATCACAGCAGTGATACATAAAACAATTTGACTAATGAATTGATGAAGACACTCTTCAAAAACATACACTTGATTAAGCTTCACAGCTTTTTAATCAAGCAACACAACCACTCTTGCTTCACAGCTTTGAGTGATACACACACCTAACTTGACTCTGCTTCACAGCTTTAGTCAAGAAACATTCAAACACTCTTGCTTCAAAGCTTTGAGTGCTACACAACCCTTACAATTAAAAACCTATTCCAAGTCACTTATCACAATGATAATTGCTTGAAGTACAATAATTAAACCTATACAGTTTACAAATGATCTTCTGATCAAAAAGGGATTACTTGCAAAACAGTAGCTCTGTTGAATATATAGCAGCTGCATCTTCAGTTAGGATTTCCACAAAAAGCTAGGGTTAATTCCATTTGACCTTAAGACTAGGTCACAGGACTTTATCAACCAGGTTAGGGTTGAGCTAGGTTAACCCAAAGAAAACGCAGGATTCTGTTCTGGAAAGACTGAGTCATTTTCCTGAAAAAACTCAGAATTAACCAAACTGCAAACCTGTTAGTTCAGAACAGGATGTCTTAACATATGTTATGACATCTGAAAAACCTGTCTACTGATTTAGGAAAATGTGATCATTTTGCAAAATGCTCAGATACACACTTATAAACATCAGTACCTGTATGACAATATTTTTCTGCAAAGGTACCTAATGAATCAGTACAAACTAAACTAGAATGTTATGACATCAGTCATGACATTCACACATACACTTGGGTTTTACCAAAAATGCAAGCCAATAACTAAACAACTACAAACTCCCCCTTTGGCAGATTTTTGGCTAAAGACCCTAAGTAATCAGAGATAGATAGCAGCAGAAAGAAATGACTGCAGAAAAATAGAATTTCTAATTAAGCAAGTACCAAAATATTCTCCCCCTCTTTAGCCACAAATGGGCCAAAGATACATGTTCATAAAAATTATACAGTTATCCAGAAAAAAGTAATAAGAGCAGCAGCAGAAAAAACTGAACACACTTCCAAACTCCACCAGGTACCAGCACCAACCAGCAACACCACCAAACAGCAACCAACCTTTAAGCACTGTCATCAGACTCAGAGGAGCTAATTTCTTCAATATTGAGATGACCTTCAGCTTCTACACCTTCTTCCCTTCTGTTTCCTTCAGCTTCCTCCTTTTCTAACCTGGCAATTAGGATTTCTAGGGTCTTTTTCCTAGCTTCCAGTTCTTTGCAGGTCTCTTTTAAAACAGCTATGACATCAGATGTCTTGGACTGGGTCTTCACAGACGATGTCTCAGCTGATGTTATGACAATATCTGGAGCATGAGATCCCTGAAACAGTTTGTAGTGCAACCCAAGGGCAGGAGCTCTTTTGCAGGCTGTATCTCTTGCCACCAGGATATCAGGGTATTGTGCAAGGATAATTCCACAAAGGAGGGAAGGAAAGGCAATTGGACCTTTGACAACATAACTACCAGCATGTTTTAAAGTTTGTTCAAAGATATACCTGCCATAGTCAAAAGCAGTCTTGGTTCCCACAGCATAAATAAATCTCCCCAATCCTGTGGAGATAGTTGATTTATGGTTTGTAGGCACCCAGTTGGCTGCACCAATCTTGTGCAGGATGGCAAATTTCATGCTGAGTTTGCTAGCATTCAGCTTGCCTTTCAAGGGCCAGCACTTCACTTGCCTTGCTGTGATGGTTTGACAAACTTCATTGTCAGTGTCCTCCAGATCAGGACAATCCTCATTTGTTCTTCCAAGAAATTTGTTAATTTCTGATGGAGAGAACTTGACCCTTCTTCCTCTAACAAAAACACTTTCAAAGTCAGCTGACCTTCCATCAGCACAATCATTAGACAAGTTCACTATAAACTCCTTGACCAGATTTTCATAACACTTGTTAAATTTTATCACTGTCTTCATCAGTCCAGCATTCTTGATCAGGTCCATGATGTCTTTGCACTCCATGGCATCATTGTTGAGTTCTCTTTCTAAAGCTATTCTCTTTAAGCAAACATACTTCCATCTGTTTGCATTGTCAGGATGATGAAAGGAGATGTTGTCTGTTGGGACTTCAGGAACTCTAGCAATTTTGCTGGAGGGGAGCTTCCTTCTGATAGGAATTTCTTCAGCATCAATCTCAAATTCTGATTCCTCATCAGAATCAGAAGATTCAGGTTCTTTTCTCTTCTTTGAAATTGATTGTCTAGCAGTATGCACCTGGGCCTTCTTCCCTTTGGTCTGAATAATTTTCACAGATTCTACCTCAGCCATGCCTTCAGCCTTGGATTTCTTAACAGCAGGTTTATCTTTGGACACACATTTTGCATCATTCTGATTACCCTTTCTTTTCATCAATCTCCTGGCTATGCTAGGGTTTACATTGGCAATCAGATCATTATCTGAGTAATCCTCATCCACATCAATGATAGGTGGATCAGCAGTCTTTTCTGAAGGGTTCTGAATGTTGTCATTTTGTGTCACAACATTCTCAGAGACATCTACATTCTCAGAGAGGTCCACATTTAGGCTTCCTGATTGATTTAAAGGGACAGAAATCCCCGGTACAGGTTGGTTTCCGCTTAGTATACTAGTAACAAGCCTAGCAATAGCTTGATGAACTTGAACTGATCCTTCTCTATTTGGTACAGAAGAAGAAGGATGAGAAGGATTACCAGAGGCTGCAGCTTGAGCTCTTCCTGCATGTCTAGTTCTTAGCTTTTTGACTTTGGCGGGGTCAGTTGCCATCTCTCTGAGAGGAGTGACCTCAAGAACTTCAGATTCTATGCATGTGGTGATTGCTCTAGAGTCTTGGTCAGATGATGAGGATGATGAAGTCGCCTTGGTTGAAGATGATGTCTGAGACATTTTGATTGACTTAGAGCACCAGTAGCAATTTGAGAAAAAACTTTGATTGAGAGGAGGGAACAGGTTGCAAAGACGAGACAGGTAGGAGGCAAAAGAGAGTCTTTTCAACTTCTTAAGGATTTTGAAAGAATTGGGAAAACATATGATTAACCCACTAAAAATAGACTTAACAAAATTAACTCCTTCAACCCTTGTTTTAAGCAAAATTAATTGCTATAATTTCTCATGTTGGCAAATACCCAACCTGCCCCTCAAGTTTTCAAGTTTATTTCCAACAAGAGCCTTGGTAGAAGAATCAGTCAGCTGAAGCTTAAAGATACCATGTTCCAGTTTAAATGACTTCTTCTCTACAAAGTCAATGTGCTT